GTGGAATATCTGACACTTTACCACCTCTATTTTTGTTATGGGATATATCACCAATATGGATTCTCTGATGAATTGCATGATTTGCTGACTGACCGAAGCTCTTACCACATATCTCACAGCTGAAAGCTTTCTCCCCTGTGTCAACTCTCTGGTGTGCCTAAAGCTGTGAAGAACAACTGAAGACTGCCACACTTGTCACATCTGTATGGTTTCTCTCCAGTGTGGACACTCCGGTGAAGCTGAAGACTGGAGGCCTGTCTGAAGTATTTGCCACATTTATTGGGTTTCTCTCCTGTATGAACGACTAGAAGAATTTGATAATGGGAGTTCCTCCTGAAGCTACACACTCTTCACGTGAGTATGGTTTTTCCCCAGTGTGGACTCCATGATGTGCCTGAAATCTTGAACAGTAAACGAAGCCCTTGCTACACACTTCACACACATACAGTTTCTCTCCAGTGTGGATTCTCCGATGGGCCTGAAATTGGAAAGGCTGAATAAAACACTTGTAAGGTTTTTCTCCTGTGTGGACCATGCAGTGGTTATTGAATGCTGATCTATGCTGGAAGTTCTTCCCACACAGATCACATCTGAATGGTTTCTCCCGAGTGTGGATTCTCTGGTGCTCTTGGAGGTGGGACTTGGTGCATGAAGGTCCTCCCACATTCCTCACAAGGGTAAGGATTCTCTCCCATGTGTAGTCTATGATGAATGGTAAATGTTTGATTTGTGACTGAAGCATTTCCCACAGTCCTCACGCTTGAATGGCTTCTCCACAGTGTGGGCTTTCTGATGAGTTTGCAGGCATGAGCCCCGACTAAATTCTTTATCACATACAGCACACTTATAGCATTTCTCTCCCATGTGAACGTGTTGATGAATACAAAGAGCTGAGCTGTAACAGAAGCTTTTCCCACACTCATCACATACATGAGACTTCTAAGTGCAACTGCTGATGGAGGTCAAAGTTGGAGACGTCACTGAGGGAATTCTTATGCTCACTGTACTAGGGATGTTTGTCCTGAGTTACATGCAGTCCTGTCCCAACCGGGCAGGAAGAATCACCTTGTATGGGGAACTGAAAATGATTTGTCATGGAATCTTGAGATCTGGCAAGCTGTTCCCAGATCTCTTCACAAGAATGTTCTTCATGTGATTCTGTGTTTGGAATAGTCTTCATTTCTACTGGATCTTCTCTGTTGTGAGGTCAGAAAATTCAGAGATGTGGATTGCAGAAATTTCTGGTCAGAGTTCTCACAATGCAACACTCAGCTGAAAGCTCTGAAACTTAAGGGATCCAGACAGCTCAGCTTGGCTTTCAACCACTGTTCATTTCCCCAGTGTCCACAACAGTCAAGGTGTCCAGGCTGAAGCCATGAACCAGGAACTCAATGTGTTCTCCCATATGAGTGGCAGGAACCCAACTACCTGAGCCAATATCTGCTCCCTCCACGGTGTGTGTTAGCAAGAAGCTGAATTAGGAAGCAGCTCCCATATGGGAGGCAGGCACACCAAGTACCATGCCAAACACTCACCCCCACTCATTAGGTTTTAATAAGACCTGAGACACACAAAGTCTCCAATGTTAAGCATATGTAGACGCTAAAGACTTAATCTTATATTTTGATAATATAAAAAGAAACTACTAACCTATTTATTTAATTTCAAAGCTGTATAGAGTATACATAGTGATTCCGTAGTTGTATAATTATGTAGATATGGAATAATGAAGATATGAGTTAATTAGAATTAGAAGGAAAAGCAGTAAGTTGATCAAATACCTTGCAGCTTGAGTGCTCAATTTGTATATTCAAATCAACTAATACATTGAAATAACTATATTTACATATTCAACACTCCGGGATTTTTTTACTCTGTGTCACTCAGTCTCTCAAATAAATCTATTAAGATAGTACTTCTGGGCCCAGCGTGGTGGCGCAAGTGGTTAAGGTCCTCGCCTTGCACACCCGGGATCCCATATGGGCACTGGTTCTAATCCCGGCAGCCCCACTTCCCTTCCAGCTCCCTGCCTGTGGCCCAGGAAAGCAGTGGAGGACGGCCCAATGCTTTGAGACCCTGCACCCGCGTGGGAGACCCGGAAGAGGCTCCTGGCTTCGGATTGGCATAGCATGGGCCGTTGCGCTCACTTGGGGAGTGAATCATCGGATGGAAGGTCTTCCTCTCTGTCTCTCCTGTCTGTATATCTGCCTTTGCAATAAAAAAAAATAATAAAAATAAATCTTTAAAAAAAAAAAAGATAGTGCTTCTAGGGCAAGCATTTGACCTAGCACTTAAGATTCCCTTCAGGATGCCTGCATCCCATATGCAAGCCTGGTGCCAGCTCCAACACGGACTCCAACTCCTTGCTAATGCAGACCCTGGGACGCAGCAGTGACAAGTTAAATAACTGTTGTTGCTACCAACACAGGAAATCTGTACTGCTTCCCCAGCTCCAAGCTTTTGACCACAGCCCAGCCTCAGATGCTGTGAGCATGGATGGGAGCTTGCTTGCTTGCTTGCTCTCTCGCTTGCTCCCTTCTCCCTCCCATCTTCCTTGAATAAATAAATAAATGAAGAATTTTAAAAAGCCACCTTTCCCTTTGCTTCAGCAGATGTTTCATAATCAGCCTACAGTTAACTCTGCCTTAGGTCATTTTATGGAAAGGTACTTCAACCTAGGAATAATTAACGTGAAATACCTAATAGCACACAAAATATACATTTAACGTTAATGCAGAGTGGAACTCTAGCTCTTGTTCTTAGGTTTCCTTTGTCAGGACAAAAGGGCAGAAAGTTGAACTGTTACTCTACACCATTTGACAATCTCACAGGCATTCAGATCTCCAGAAAAAATTTAAAAAGCCAAGGCTATGCACCAACTTTTTCATCAGTCTCGCCAAAAGCACATCAATGGCAACATTCTTTGCATGTCCCTTTGTGCTGGTAAGTCGTTCTCCAGAACTGTTAACGACACATCCTACTTCGGAACAGACAGCAACTTCAGAGCAGCACACTTAAGACCATCCACCTTTCTCCTCTGACATACAGACTCGGGATGCTCCATGAAGTTTTCTCACTGAGGTCTGCCAAACCACAAGCTTTCAATAGCCTGTTTGGACAGCCATGTAGTCCAGAACCCCCCAAGGCTCACACCCCTATCTGTTAATTCCCACCATCAGTGTCATGGGTCTGGAGTCAGTGTGTCTCAGACATGCCACATGAGTCTACCCCTTGGTGGCTGCGTGATCTTAAACTTTTAAGTTCACCTGGTTTCATCTTGGTTTAACACCCACAATATTGGTGCAAAGCAGCACATAGTCTGAGTTGAGCCATACACATCTGGATGTTCTAGCGGTAAAACAGTGTCGCATGAAGGAATTTAGTACATTGGTGGATGAAGGAGTTATTCACAAACCAGCAACTCTGGGTTTGTGACTAACCCTGGAACAGCAAGCAGAAGACCAAATCCCCTGGTTCATCCCTCCTTTGTACCTATCTCTGGTTAAAAATAACAGAAGAGATTGTCCCTGGCCTCAATACTAACTTTTCTTTTTGCTTTCCTTGAGTTTAAATAACGAATTAAAGCATACCAACTCTGTTAATGCCTTCTCCCTTACAGTTTTTAGTTTCACTTAATATTAGAAAAACTATTCTAAGAACTGCTAGGTTCACATAAGATAAGGATTAATGAAAGCTTTTGTGTGACACTTGGGTTCTTTTGGGGGGATAAAAGGCTGCGTATTCTTAAACAAAGTACATCATCCTGAAAGTGTGGATGATGGTTGCAGTGTAGATTGATAAATTCATTTCTCTATTAAGCGTCTTCTTGTTCTTTGTTCAATTGTGACACTAAAGGATCCTTTCTTTTATTTAAAGATTTATTTATTTTTACTTCAAAGTTAGATTAACAGAGAGGAGGCAAGTCAGAGAGAGAAAGATCTTTCATCCACTGGGTCACTCCCCAAATGGCCACATCAGCTGGAGCTGAGCTTATCCAAAGTCAGGAGTTAGAAGCCGGGTCTCCCACATGCGTGTAGGGTCCCAAGGTTTCTGGCCATCCTCTACTGCTTTCCTAGACCACAAACAGGGAGCTGGATGGGAAGTGGAGCAGCCGGGATCTGAACCAGCACCCATATGGGATGCTGGTGGTTAGAGGCAGAGAATTAGCCTGTTGAAGGCACCAGCCCTGGAAGAGACCTTTTTAAATGGAGCCTTTCATACACTGAGAACAGACAATGGGCGCACTGTTTTCATAACTGAATTCTAGGGAAAAGTTATATAGAAAAATTATATTGCTTCATGTTACTTAAAACTGTAAACATGCGGGCCTGGTGCCGTGGTCTAGTGGCTACAGTCCTCACCTTGCACACACTGGGATCTCATATGGGCACCGGTTCTAACCCCAGCAGTCCAGCTTCCCATCCAGCTCCCTGCTTGTGGCCTGGGAAAGCAGTCAAGGATGGCCCAAAGCCTTGGGACCCTGCACCCACATGAGAGACCCAGAAGAAGCTCCTGGCTCCTGGCTTCAGCTCAGCTCAGCTCTGGTCGTTGTGGTCACTTGGGGAGTGAATCACTGGATTCACAGGCTGGATGGTGGGCAGTAGGCTCACCTGCTCTAGCAACAGAGTACTAGAGGAATCTGTGGGTGAGACCCCATAGTAATTAATTGTAAAAAAACTCTGACCTAAGAGTATATATTCAATCTACATCAAGTTCAAAGCAGAAATGATAATAGAAAAAAATTTTAAAAATAAGAAAATAGCAAAAACCAAAAACACAGAAATTATAATTGTTGGCATTGATGGTGGGAATGACTGGAAATGGATACAAGAAAAATTTATGTTTAACTGTGTATATGTTGATTTTAGTTAGCAAATGAATACATTTGTCAAGTTAGAAAGCCATAAGTGAATTTATGAATGTTATTGTGTTGCTAAATGCAAATGACCTCTACTAAGTACTGTAAGCATACAAAAATGCTGGTCACAAACAGCCGAACCACCACGAGAATAAACATTAGCTCACAGGACCTACACAGTTGGGGAGATGAGCTTGTTATGTCAAACTTTTATGTCTTCTAAGCTTTGCGGAATTTTCCTTCTCAGGAAAATTAAAGAAATCTTTAATGATAAACTGAACAAAACATCAAATGTTTTTACTCATTTGACAATTATTAAAAGCACACAATGTGTTAGGCACTGAAAAGACATAGTAAATTTGGCAGTCAGCCACGCCCCGAGCCCTCTAGGTGGAGTGCATCTTCTAGTGGAACAGACGTTTGGCATTCCTAGGTTAACTCCACATCAGACACCCTTTCAGTGTCAATGTCAAGATTCTGAATGATTTGTCTGTCTCCACTCTCAACAAAGCTTGTCTGAGGTGACATGTTAAGCTCTGGCTAACCTTTGACCCCTTTAGGCATCCAATGTTTTGCCCCCTTTCTGATCATTGGAATCATTCAGCACCCACGTGACACACTCACATATGTAACTTTACAGAGCTCATTTCCTGCTAGGACTCCTCTGAAGGAAAGTCCTTGTCACCCACATCCGCAGCATGGACCCGCTGATGAATTACAAGACTCGAGCTCCAGCTGAAGCCCTTGCCACACACCTCACATTTGTAGGGCTTTTCTCCCGTGTGCACTCGCTGATGGGCTTGTAGGTACGAGCTCCAGCTGAAGCCCTTCCCACACTCCGCACATCTGTAGGGCTTCTCTCCCGTGTGGACCCTCTGGTGGGCCTGAAGGTAGGATCTCTGTCGGAAGCGCTTCCCACACACATCACATCGGTATGGCTTTTCTCCTGTGTGGACTCCTGAGTGAGCCAGAAAATTCGAGGCCCGACAGAATCCCTTGCCACACTCCTCACATTGGTAGGGTCTCTCTCCAGTGTGGCACCTCTGATGCGCTTGCAGCTGTGAGCCCACACTGAATCCCTTCCCGCAGTCTGCACACTGATACGGTTTTTCCCCAGTGTGGACTCTCTGGTGGACTTGGAGACTTGAGAACTGGCTGAAGGCCTTACCACATTTCTCACACTTATAGGGTTTCTCTCCTGTATGGATCCTACAATGCACGTTAAGATCGGAGCTCCGGCTGAAGCCTTTCCCACAGGTAGAACATTTGTATGGTTTTTCTCCAGTGTGACCTCTCTGATGGGCCAGAAGATTGGAGGCCTGCGTGAAGCCTTTCCCACACTCCTCACATTTATAGGGTTTTTCTCCTGTATGGACTCTGAAATGAATGTTAAAATCAGAACTACGACTGAAGCCCTTCCCACACACATCACAATGATAAGGTTTCTCTCCAGAGTGGCCTCTCTGATGGTCCAGAAGGTTTGAGGCCCGACAGAAGCCCTTGCCACACTCCTCGCATTGGTAGGGTTTCTCTCCAGTGTGGCTTACCTGATGTGCCTGAAGGTGTGAACCCACACTGAATCCCTTCCCACACTCTTCACATTTATAGGGTTTCTCACCCGTGTGGATTCTACAATGAATGCTCAGGTGTGAACTATAACTGAAGCCCTTGCCGCATGCATCGCATTTGTATGGTTTCTCCCCAGTATGGATTCGCTGATGGGCCTGCAGGCGTGACTGCCAACTGAAACCCTTGCCACAGTCCTCACATCTGTAAGGTTTTCTCCCAGTGTGGACCCTCTGATGGGCCTGGAGACATGAGCGCTCGCTGAAGTCTACCCCACACTCCTCACATATGTAGGGCTTCTTCCCTGCACGGCCTGTCGAAGGAGCTTGACAATATGACTTTCTCCCGATGCTCCTCCCACATCCTTCATATTTGTATGCATTCTCTCCAGTGAGGACTCTCTGAGGATGGTGAGTGTGTGACATCTGGTCAAAACCTTTACAGGAAGCATCCGATCTGCCTGACTTCTCTCCGCTGTGGACTCTCTCATGGGCCTGAAGACTTGAATGTCGACGGAAAGTGTGATTGCATTTTTCACATTTGTAGGGCTTCTCTCCTGCACAGGCCCTTGGCTTGACTTGAAGAGGAGTGTCCCAGACAAAGCCCTTCTCACACGCCTCCCCTCTGCAGCGTGTGTCACCAGCATGGACTCTGTACTGCATGAGAAGCTGTGAACTCTGACTAAAGCCTTTGCTGAACTCATCTTTACAGAGGGTGTGACCCTGTTTCTTCCACTGGGAGCCAGTTCTTTGAATATCTGCCACAGAATCATGACATCTGGTTAACTCCTGAGTTACTTGTTGCCAAGTTTGTGGGCAGAAAATCTCTTCCTGTGGCAGGTACCTTAGTGCCACTTCCTGCAGATTCTCCATCTCACCTGGAGTCTTGCCTCCTGAAAAGGAAAAAGAGAATCTGGAAGGCACATGTGAAGGCTTCCCTCAGAGATGCCAGTCCTGTGAACTTAGACTCACAGCCCGAAGCTTTGCTGAACCAAGAAAAGGTTCCATTTCCCTTCATCATCAGGTGTCATGTTATGACCAAGATGTCCCCAGAGCTTGGGCTTCCATTCACTATACATGAATAACCATTTAAAATCACACTAAATTTTAGAAATAAGCAAAAAAATTAGAAATTTAGTGGCTGCAGAGCAAGAAATGCCTTCCTAGGAAATCTTTACCAAGTAACCTATCTAAAAGCCTCCTCTTCAGCTCCAACAGGTATCTGCCCAAGAGCACCCACATCATGCTGCCTACTTCATGGACGTCTGAACAGAGCATAAGTTATATTACAAAAGTGATATAATGGGTTAAGTGAGAGAACCTGGGAAACTCCCCTGTTGGAGCTCCCACTGGTGAGCACGTATTCCAGGCCTGGGTGCTGGGCAGCCTGAGTAGGGTAACCCCAACTGTTGGCTAATGGGTGGGTTGGTTTTGGAAGGGGGCAGACTTGGCAGGGCCAAGCCAACCTTACTTCACTGGCAAGAGCAGAAACCAGGCTGGAGCACAGGTCAAGCTCAGCTAGGCTGTCACACCTACCGGGTTGCACGAACCTGGGATGGGAATAGATGGAGCAGGACCATGTTCTAGCACTGACCAGAGAGTGGTGGGACTTGGGGTAGGCTGGGTCAGGCCACACTACAGCATCCAAAAGCAAAGGTCATGACAGGTGAGGGACTAGGCCAAGCTGAGTCAGAGCAACCACTACCACATGCAAGATCTATAGCTGGGAACAGACCTGGTTGGGGAGCAAGGGGATGCCTTGCCTGGGTTGTGGTTCCCAGAGGTAAGCATGGAGCTGGACTGAGTCATGTTTTGGTCTAGACAGGGCTGCAGTGTACCTCTGCACAAGTGTGGAGTGGGGTTGAATGCCGCAGACTGGGCTAGACTCCAGCATCTACTGGTGCTTGTGAGAACCCAGGTAGGTGTAGGACGGACAAGGTTAGATTTTTGCCCCTGCTGAGCTGCATATGCGTGTGGACCAGGCTAGACAGGGCTGTAACACCCAACAACAATAACCTGAACAGGTTGAAGACTGGTCAGAAAAGGCCATTGTTCCTGTTAGATCAGTAGGTGGACTAAGTAGGGCTGGCTCATGGACCCACCCGTGTGTGCAAGATCTGGCACTGAAAGAGGTTCTGATGGAGGAATCTGGGAAACTTCTCCATCAGGACACAGTTCCTGCAGGTGAATGCAAGAACCACAATAGGGAGCAGCCCAGACCAGGCCAGGGAACAGCACCTAGCAGCATACGTATGGCGCAGGTCAGGGGCAAACTAGGCAGGGCCAGTTCATATTACCCACTGGCAAACCCGAGTACCAGAATGGAGTGTGGGTCAGGCCAGCTTCGGTCGCAACACACACCACATGAGGGCTTGAACTGAGTGCCGCCTGGGCTGGGCTAGGCTGTAGCCCCCACCAACCTGAGCTGGAATTGGGAGTGGACCGGGCCAGGCCAGGCTACAGCACCTACTGGCAAAAGCTGAGGTGAGGAAGGTAATGCCAGACTGGGCCGTGGCACTCAACCAGCACATACAGACCTGGGCAAGGTTGGGGAGGCCAAGGTGGTAGGGAGATGTGGAGAGCTCCCCTGCTGGATCACCACTCCCACTGGAGAGCGTGAGTTGGGATGGGGGCAGACCAGACCAGGCAGGGCTACCACACTTGTCGGTCTCATGTGAGCAGGAACAAGGAAAAGCCAGGCTGGACTGACTGTTCCTACTGGTGCAAGGATAAGTCAGAGTGAGTGTGGGTTGGTAGGGCTCTGCCAGAGCATCAGCTGGCAGATGCTAGCACATGGGGCTAATTCGGTCAAGCCAAACTGCAGAACCACCTGGAGAGTGCATGAGCCGGGAGTGGGCCTATTAGGGAAACAACTTCCCTCCTGGGTTGCCACTCTGGTGAGAATGAAAACCAGGACTGGGGTCAGGCATGGCTAGACAGAGAGTGGCACCTGTCAGCAGGTATGTGGGCTGGATAGTGGAACTGATTGGGTTGAACTAGGCTTCAATGCCCATTGACATGTATGTGAGCTAAATGAGATGTGGGACAGACTGGACCAGTCTGCTGTACATACTGGCAAGCATGGGAGCCAAAGCAGGGGGCGTTCCTGGTGAGGATTATTGGAAGTCATCCCAATTAAGCTGCAGCTCCCACTGGTTTACGTGGTCAAGTGTGTGGTGGGCAGGAATGGAATGGGCTCCAACACCTATTAGTTTGTGTAGCAGACAGGGCATGAGGCAGGACTGACCCAGCAACTGCAACCATAGCAGATGTATAGGTTAATAGGGACGACGGACTGTGCTGGACTCTGTACTGGCAAGCACACACAAGAATCTGGTCTGAGATCACTTCAGACGAAGTTTCTTTGGGAATCCCCGCAAACTGCCAGACTCAGAACCCCAACCATAGAATTGCAGGTTCCATGGTCTGACTACCAAGTGCATGTATCAAAGCTAAACCTCCTCAGTGGCTCAGTCGGAGTAGTGGACAGCATATCCAGGTGCACATGGAAGATATGGCAGTACATCAGAGCCTGCAGAGGACACCTGGCACCACAAGAGAGGACAAAACAAATTGATCAGCTACTCCAGCAACATATTGGCAGTCAAAATCTGGGCAAGTGGAAACACTAAGGTGGACCAAGTCAGCCAGTGAATTCTGGAGAGTTTTCATCATGCTTGGAATGGCGAGATTGGCAGCAATTCAGAACTGTTGAACCATCAAAACCACTTGAGCAGTGCCCTGGGAGCATGCCCCACATTGGGGACCCTGGGATGGTTGGGAGGCTGGGTGTAGCTTCCCCGTTTGTCTTGCTAAGTCCACAGGATCTCACTACAGGAAAGTCGCAGGGAAAACCACTCCCAGTACAGTCACAGCTGCAAAAGGAGCCTCCGTGAGATGCGGGATTCTAGGCTCTGAATGCTCTACCTGCTGAGTGGTCAGGTTGATGACGGCCTGAGGAAGGTGATGAAGTTATAAAGGTGCAGTCCTTGTGAATGCTGCCAGTGGCTCATGGAAGACTGTCCGGTGCTTTCTTCGCTATATGTATTTTTTAAAGATTCATTTATTTTTTATTGAAAAGTCAGATTTAGAGAAGACAGAGAGGAAGATCTTCTATCTGCTGGTTCACTTCCCAAATGGCTCTAACGGAAGGAAGCAGGAGCCTCCTCTGGGTTTCCAATGTGGGTGCGGGGCCCCAAGGCCTTGGGCCGTCCTCCACTGCTTCCCAGGCCATAAGCAGGGAGCTGGATGGGAAGTGGAACAGTTGGGACATGAACTGGCGTCCATTCCATATGGGATCCCGGCAAGTGCAAGATGAGGACTTTAGCCACTAGGTTACTGCACCAGGCCCCTCCTCATTGTTTCTCACGTGGCTCTCAGCAATAAGCTGCAGCTCGTGATATGCAGTGCCTACCACGGCTCTGCTGTTTTCCACCACATTTCATTTCACTAAAATCGTTGGCACAATTCACTAATAGTGCATCATAACTGCTCACGGGAGACAATAATTTCAGAAAGGATGAAACCACACAGCAGTCACGCTGTCAGCTGATTCAGTTACAAAACACGCATGTGGAGCGGGCATGTGGAGCCATAGGGTAAGCAACATGCTGTATGACTCCTGGCTGTTCTGATTCACATCCAGCTCCTTTGCTAAGGCACCTGGGAAGCCAGCAGATGCTCCAAGTGCTAGGAACCCTTAGTTTATGTGGGAGACAGGGATGGAATTCTAGGCTCCTGGCTTTGGCCTGGCCCAGTTTGGCCATTGAGGCCATTTGGGGAGTAAACCAATAAGGGAAAGATCTGTCTCTCTCTCTCTCTCTGTGACTCCGCCTTTCAAATAAATCAATAAATCATCTTAGGACAGAACTATCACAGGGAGCTGGCATTCCACGAGGGGGCGCCTGTGCTCACCCACGGAGAGCAGGTTCCGGAAGGTCTCCAGCATCACGTCGCGGTACAGCTTCCTCTGTGCGGGGACCAGCAGCCCCAGCTCCTCCTCGGAGAAGACCACGGCCACGTCCCTGAAGGTCACCATCTCCTGCAAGGTCAAGCACATGCAACCCCAATCTTGAGACAAAAGTCTGCCAGAAGGATAGCTCAGAACATCGTGGTTCCAGATTTTAGATCACATTCTCAACTTTACTCAAACCTAAGTTATATTTTAGAGTTTTTTCTTTTCCTACTAAATGCTGAAAAGAGTAATTGTTTGCTGGCCCATGTGTCTAACCATTTTCTTGGGATAAGTTCCAAGAATTGAACATCTCTCTGTCAAAGAACAGACAACCTCAAAATCATGATGCACACACCAATCAGATTGTCTTTTCCTTTGTTTTCTCCAAAAGCAAACACACGGGGGCTTCGAAAAGGTCGTGGAAGACAAACATTATGAAAGAAAGTGTGCAGGCGGCAGATACCAATTGCTTTTATATTTCAAAATAAGCTTCCTTTTTACTTCTATTTTCTATGAACTTTTGGAAGCACTCTTATGTACATATCACTGACTATAACATAAACAACTTCAAATATAATCGATTTTTTAAAAATCCTAGGTAATCAGATTAAAGAAAAAAGCTGTTTTAGTTGTCGTATTTAATAGTTCATAAGATCATGTTTGCATTTATTTGCCAGTCAATCTTTGTTTTCTCTTTGGTATCTTTTATTATTATTACTATTTTGGTTCATATTCTTGAGTTGAGTGCATCAGTGGACAAGGAAGCTATTCACAAGCCAGGAACACCTGGGCTTGTGTCTAACCTTGGAACACCAAGTGGCTCCCTTTGGAAATCCATAATGCTCTCTCCTTCGAGCCTCCCTCTGGTTAAAAATGACAAGACAGTGTCCCTGGCCTCAATACTGTCTCTTCTTTTGCTTTCCTTGAGTTGTAAATAACAGTCCAAAGCGTACCAAGACACTGTGTTAATGTCTTCCCCCTTACTTTTTTTTAGCTTTGCTAGCATAAGAACAATTATTCTAAGAATTGTTAACTTCACAGAAGATGAGATGAATGAAGGCCTCTGTGTGACACCTGTGTTCTTTTGGGGCATAAAAGTCTGCGTATTCTCAAAGTACGTCATCCTGAAAGTGTGGATGATGGCCGTAGTGTAGAATCATAAAATCATTTCTCTGTTAGGCTTCTTCTTGCTGTCTGTTAGATTAATCCTGACATATTCTGAGGAGAGTTTTATCTATGGCTATAAAACTTCTGTAGACTTTTTTTTTAGGATATACATTGCAAATACTTTCATCCACAATTTTCTATTATTCCTTAAGATTTAATTCGTATGGAATTGCCCTCTCCATTTGTTGGATGCATAGAACACCTTGAGGTTCTTTTTTGGTTTAATGAAATGTTCTTT